ATGACAAAAATAGCAAAATCTCTTACATATTTTCATTAACTAATAAAATATTATTATTTTTTAATTTATATTGAGTGGGACGAAAAAAATTATATTGTAATTTTTAATAATATTTATAAAAAAATTACTTTAATTAGAAATATCAATGAACAAATTCATTATTGATCAACTACTTATTTTACTCCCTCCGTCCCAATACAATAGTCTTGTTTACCATTTTAGTCCGTCCCAAAACAATAGTCTTATTTTTATAAATAATCATATCATTATAAAACTATCCTTACTTTTTTATTATTATTACATAATTGCCACTATTTTTTACACTAATACACTCACAAAGATAAAAAAGATTTTAACCCGTACTTTTAACCCACTATCAATGTAATATTAATATTTTTAAATCTCGTACCAAAAACAATACAATATATATTATTGGATGGAGAGACTATATCAATACAATAAATATGGAACTTTTAGTTGACTAAATGCGGGCATGTTAGAGTGTTGATTATTAATGTATATATTATATAGATTATAATTTAAGCAAATCAAATACTCCTATAATTTGACAACATATACCATATAGATTATTAATGTATATATTATATGTATGTTAGTTTAATATATTTTGTGTAATGAGATTAATTGTAATATATATACGTACACCGTTTGGATTAAAATCGTATATTATCAATTTCAGGGCCGTCTCGGATTTTTTGGAGATCCTAAGCAAAAATAAATTATAGGTCCTATAAATACATGATTAAAATATATTTTTAAAATAATATCACTGATTAACGTCGATTGAAGAAGATGTTGAACGTGACCGTCACGACAATGTCAATTTGAGAAAAAAAAATATGAAAGACGGTTTGTACGGAATTTCAAAAAACGAGAATGACTGAAGGAAGGTGAAAGAGATAAGACAAAAGGTGAGGCAGGTTTGGTCTGAATTGGTGGGCGCAATGCGACAGGGTATGAGGTAAAGAACTGTGACGATTAAATTTGAAAAGATAGAGTGAGACATGATTAGGAAGAAAGATATAAAAAAAATATATAATTAGAATTTTAAATTTAATTTTAAAATTAAATAGGATAATTATGAAAAAAAAAATATGAACTAATAGTTACAATTTAATTTTAAAATTTCATAATAATAATAGATAATAATTTAAAATATGAGCCATTTATTAATTAGGGACCAGAGCAGTTGTTCGCCCTACTCCTGCTATAAGCCGCCCCGCATTAATTAATATATTGTATTTATATTATATTAGCATATAATTTATAGTTTGATTTATATTTTATATGACGCTAATATATATTGTGTTGTTTGTAGTGTGTTAATTAATAATTATAGTCAATACAATAATAATATTCGACTTATGTTTCTTTAGTCAATTTTTCCCAAAATTTATTATTTCGATTCTGCGTTTTTCGAAAAAAATACAATTTTTTCTTCTCATAAAATATCACATCAAATATTATTTTCATACCAAATCAAAACCAATTTTTTTCCAAACTCATAAAAAAACACACTAACATAAAACATTTGGGTATAGACAAATTAGAGCCCTGTTTCCTCACGTATAGAGTTAGGGTGTATTCATCCGTTATTTATTTGGGTGGTATAATTTTCGATAAATATTATTAAAAATATAGAGTGTATTTTTTTACAAATTTTTTCAAAAAATTTATTATTCATTAAATTTTTTCACCAAAAATATGAAATCAAATGCATATATATTTTTTTATTTTTTATATTATACTAAAAATCAATTTTATATTCAAAAGATCATATCAACGCCTATTTATATCACATTATACAACTATTTCAATTCAAAAATTTACAATTCAAATTTTTAACTCAAAATCTAAACTTCCAAACAAACACACCCATAATATATACTCCCTCCGTCCCATAACTACGTATCCGTTTGATTTTTGCACGAAGTTTTAGAAATATTAGTATTATATTGAGATGTAGTAGAAATAAAGTATAAATGACTAAAATAACCATATTAGTATTGTGTGATATAAATGTAATGACATTTGTGTAATATATTGTAAGTTGTAAGGATATTTTTAATGTTAAGTAGATAGTACAATTACTAAAAAAAAAAAAGAAAATAGATACTTTGTTATGAGACAAATTAAAATAGAAAAATGAATAGTTTGTTATAGGACATATGAAGTATATAGTTATACAATATATTTTATTCGTTCAGCCATAAAATATACAATTATTTTATATATAATTGTATCTAATATTAAAAATATCTTTACATTTGCAAAATTTATTCCGCTAGTATTATTATATTTGTATTATAAAAGAGTAATATATGCATTTTTGTCATTCTCTTTATTGGTACTATATTTTGATAAAATAAGTACTCCAATATTAAAAAATCAACACAAAAAAATAAGTGTATGCTTTTTAGCTAGACATATTATCGGTTAACTTACAAAATATTATCAATCCAACATAAAATATTATTTTATATTTATTCTCACTTTCCTTTTTAGTCCGTCAACTAAATTTATCCCATTACTAATTTGGCAAAGTCAATAAATAAATATTTAATTTTTACCCTCTATTCAACACTTATTTACAACAAATACTACTAACTTTATTACATTCTCACTATTCATTTACTTTACTTTTTAATTAATTTTTTAAAAATACCCTCAACTACCTATCACTTTCTTAATAAAATATTTATTTATTTTTTTTTTAATTCTTGTGTTGAGTCCAAATGAACTAATTTTAATGGACCGGAAATAATATTAACATAGTAATACATTCAAAATTACAAAATGATAGACATCCTATATTTTTGTACTATGATTTATTTTAGAAAAGTTATAATTATATTAATTTGTAAAATTTTTTTACTTTTTTAAAAATATTTTTGTAGTACTAGCTTTGTTTACTTCGGGTGTGTTTGTTTGGGGGATTGGATTTTATTTTCACTATTCATTTCATTTTTTTCCCTAAAAATATCAAATTAAACATATATTTTTTATTTTTTATATTATACTAAAAATCAATTTTACATTCAAAACAACACATCAACACCTATTTATATCACATCATACAATCTCAACTCAAAATCCAAACCCCAAAATAAACACACCCTTCATCTACTTTTATTTATTTAATACTATTTATTTTTCAAAAAATATCACATTAACTATATATATATATTTTCATAAAACATTACGTTAAATTATTAATTTTTTAATTTTTTTCAAACTCTTAAATTTTCAAAAATCTCCAAAAATATCTACCTAGATAATTCCAAAATTTAGGCCATTGAAACCCTAATTACAATTTTTTCTGTGTCAAGGTTGCTTGCTGCATCAAGAAACCGAATTTCATTTTTATTGAAATTAAATAACAATAATAATAATAATAATAATAAATTAGCTTACCTAAGTGTACAGTGAGGAGCAAGAGTCAACTCTCTGAGAAATTGATAATCATTAACCAATCACATCAATGGGACCATCTCTTTACTGTGAGAAAGGGCTGCCGTGATAGGCGTCGGGTTTCTAAAACGACGTCGTATCGGAAAATATATATTTATAATTATATATATATTTATATATTTATATTATATATATTTATACTCCCTCCGTCCCAGATACCGTGTCTGCTACACTGTAGAGACGGTATTTTAAGTGAGGTGTAATTAGTATATAATTAAGAATGCATTAGCAAAAATAATTATTAAATAATATAAATAATTATAAATTAAAATTAAGATAACTAATTAGTTTAATTAAAATTAAAAAAAAATAAAATTAAAAATTTTAAAATGAGATTAAAGTGTGTAATTGTTTTTTAAAAAAAAATGACATGGTATGTGAGACGGACATAAACGACAATATGGACATGGTACGTGGGACGGAGGGAGTATTATATATATATATATATATCTACAATCCACATGCACGTATACAGTAGCTATATGCTTGCTGTCCTCCATAATTTTATATACCATTGATTCTTTCATTTTATTTTTTTATTACATCTTCAAAATAAGACTGAGATTTTGATTTCTTGTGTCGTTGTCTCAATTAGCCACCATGCATGCATATTCATTATTTTATTTATTTATTTTTATTTAATTTCTTCATTAATTATAATAATCTACATATGTACAAACTTTTATTTTTTATTTTTTATTTTTTAATTAATATATGCAAACTTGTGTCTTTCAAATACAGTAGTGGGGTTGAGTCATTCAATTGTAAAAGGACATATTCATCATCATTATATTATATATAAATTTACATATATTTAATTAATGGGAAGCCCTCTTCAAACATTGATCCATTTTAAATTATTTCAATTTAAAATGACCATTGTTTTTTTTTATTATTAATTAAATCAGAAGTTCTAAATAGCAATTTGAAAGTCTTATGTGTGAGAAGGTGTATTGACATGTTCGTTAATTTTTGTGACACAAAATTAGGACAACTCACAGGTCAATGCACATATACTATTTTAGGTTTTTTACTAGTAAAAGTTAATGATTTTTTTTTTTTTTAATAAATGAGATATTTACAATAACCATAGTAAAAAAGTAATATAATGTAAAAAAAAATTAATATAGAGCTAATCTTGATTCCAAATCAAGTTAGGGTTTTCTCAAATGAACCAAATCAACAATATTGGAAGGATATTGATGCAATTAATTTTATTTTTTTTGTATGAATCTTGACATAAAAATAAATAAAGGATTTATGAAATGAGGCACAAATTAATTTAGAGGGAAAGGGCTAGTTTTTTTTTTTACTATGTACTTTCAACAATAAAATAAATTAACACAATTTTTTACCCCTTGAATTTGCAACACAATCACAATCACACGACCTACTAACCAACCAACCAAATCCCAAATAGAGAAATTTCAAATCTTTTTTTTTTTTTTTCCATTGATGATCTTCGAATGAATCCCATTTCACTTCCAAAAAGTTTGATCCCCAAATTTCTAGTAGTAATAGATCCCTCTCTGATGATCATAGTGATCTTCTGTTGCAGTCTTGTGTTCATCACTTAGCAAGAATGTATTGACATCCCCCCCACCCCCACCCCCACCCCCACCAGATGTGATCAGCTGCTTAACTTCTTCAAGATCATACTGCAGCTGCAGCTGCATCTGGCTGCTACTGTTGTTGTCGTTTTCGACGACAGAACCAGAACCTAATCCATTTGGCTTGTGATCTTGATCAAGATCGAGATCAAGAAACGAGCTGATTGGATCCTCCAAATGAGCATGATTATGGTTGATTAAATTCTTGCCATGGCTGCCCTGGATGAGCACAAACTTGTTGCTCTGATGGTGCTGTTCTTCCGAGAATAAGCCAGTCTGAGGATTCACACACCCTCCCATGTCTTCCTGCTTAATAACTTGATGCTGATGTTGATGGTGATCTTTATTGCCGTAGCTGATCTGTCCACAGCTCCCATCTGACGAAGAACAGCTTGCCTGCTGATGATCATTACCCCCAAACATGAGCATATTGTCTTTGAAATAGGGTAATTCCATAAAACCCCCTTCCTGGCAGAACTGATTGCTGCTCATAAATGGAATCGGGATTGTGCTGCTGGGGAAGACCAAATTTTGGGGAGACGATGAAATTGGAATTAAGGGTTTGGGATTCGAAGATGAAGTTGCGTAAATTGTGTTGTACAAATGGTGCAGAGTCGATAAATGGTTTGGGGTTTGAAGGTTTCCTGAAAATGGGAGTGAGAATTTTGCAGGCGGAATTATCAGAGACGACGACGATGACGAGGAAGACGACGATGGCCCAATTAGCTTCTTCTTCAGCTTCGTGTTCCAGTAGTTCTTTATATCGTTGTCTGTCCTGCCTGGCAACTGTGCTGCAATAATTGACCATCTGCATTTTTTGCCAAAAGCTTTTTATCAAAAAAAATAAATAAATTCAAAAACTTCCATTGGAAGAAAGCTTCATCTTCTTCGTTGCTGTTTTTTGCCCTAATCACAGAAATTTAACATTTTATGCAAGAATCAATTTTCATTTTTCGTTTGAAGAAGATGAATTAAATTAAAACCTGCTTCCGATGGTTGCGTAGAGGGCACAAATAACTCTGTCTTCTTCCTCAGAGAACTCTCCATGTTTGATGTTTGGCCTCAGGTAATTGAGCCATCTCAATCTGCAGCTCTTTCCACATCTTTTCAGACCTAATTATATATATATACAGGATTCAATTTCAAAAGGTCTTCTTCTTGTAAGGAATTTAGAAATTAGGGTTTTGGTAAGAACCTGCTTTCTGAGGAAGAGCAATCCAGTTTCCACCAGTACCAAACTTGTCGATGAATTCTTTGAGCTTTGCATCTTCTTCAGGCGACCATGGCCCTTTCTTCACGTTCGCCTTGTCACAGCAAGGAGCCCTCCCCATGTTTCTTTTTCTCTCTCTTGCTTTCTTTCTTTGTTTCTCTCTCTATATTAGATATATATATATATCATCATGAGGGAGAAACTTGTCTCACTTTATCCTTCTTCTTGTTGTTCCTTGAGATTGAGGTGACCAATTGGGGATTCTTCTCACTTTAATTATTACTGTTAGTCATCCCAAACAGTAGTACTCAAAGTCATTACTTATTTAGCATAATATATATATATATATATATAATTTAAGATATGTATGTGTGTGTATTTCGTCGAAGGAAGCTACACAGGTCAAATGGGGACAACCATGTAATGTGTGTATATAATATACGTATATGTAGTTTTTCTTTTTTTAAAAAAAATATTTATTTATTAATTTTTTATTGTTTAAACTCAGTTTTTTTTTTTTTTTTTTTAAATTTGAATTTTTAAATATTAAAAATTTAAATTTAAATATATTTTTTTTATATGATATGAATGAAAGTTGATTTTATATTTTGAATATAAAATAAATTTTTATTATAAAATAAAAAAAATAATCATTTGATTTGATATATTTTTTTAAAAAAATAATAAACAATAAAAAAATTTTTAAAGAAAAATGACAAAAGAACACAAATATATTTTTATTATTTTTCTCTCTAAAATAATTATATAATTTCTATTTAAATATTGAAATTAAATCAAATCAACTTCCCAATCCAAATCTAAAGAAGAGTTTTTTAGTAATTACCATTCCCTTTCTACGCCAAATTTATTCTCATTTTTCTTTTTAGTACGTCCATTAAATTTATCTCATTATTATTTTTGGCAAAGTCAACAAATTAACATTTAATTATTATTTTCTATTCAACATTTATTTACAACAAATACCACCAACTTTATTACATTTTCTCTCTTCATTTATTTTATTTTTTAACTAAATTTTCAAAAATACCCTCAACTATCAATCATTTTTTCAATAAAATATTTATTTTTCTTAATTTTTGTGCCGAGTCCAAATAATCTAATTTTAATGGAAGAAGGGAGTATTTGGACCATGTAATAGAAAATATATATATATATATGTTTTTTACAAACTATCATTATAATAAATATTATTTAAATTTAAAAATAAAATCAGATCTTCCCAATCCAAATCTAATAAAACAAATATTATTTGAAGTTTGTATTCAATTTTAACTATTTAAATTTCATAATTTTCTTTTTAAAAATAAAATAGAAATTATATAATGTTTACTCTATAAAATATTACATAAAATATAATTTAAATAAAAATTTTAAAATCTCAAATCCAATCTAAACTTTAAACCATGATTTCACGAGTTGATCCACGCATCACCGGACCATTCCCTCTGGAATGAGTTTTACCTTATTCTTGTTCTATACTCTTTTCAATACTTTCTTATTATACTTTTAAAATAAGGTAAAATTGCTCATAACTCTCGTGGTGTTGAAACTCAGCGTAAATTTCCCCTCTAATTTAAAAATTGTATGACGTCCCCTTATACTTTAAAAAATATTGTATGAAACCACTTTGTGGTTTCGAAACTCAGCATAAATCCCCATTTTACTTTAAAAAATTGCATGACGCTCACTTAAACTTTCAAAAATATTGCATAAAACCCCCATGCCATGCAAAACATATAGATAGGAAATCATTTTCTTATCACATGAGAAAAGTTTCATGGTAGTGGGGTTTCATGTAGCATTTTTTAAAGTATAAGAGGGTATCATGCAATTTTTAAAGTACAGGGAAATTATACGCTGAATTTCGAAATCACATGAGAGTTATAAGCAATTTTACCTTAAAATAATCTGGTCTCATTATATATATAGGTGGAGAATGAAATGTCTCTGACATATATATATATATTACATATTTTTTGCTTGCAAGAACATTTGTCAATTTGTACAGGGAAATTATACGCTGAATTTCGAAATCACATGAGAGTTATAAGCAATTTTACCTTAAAATAATCTGGTCTCATTATATATATAGGTGGAGAATGAAATGTCTCTGACATATATATATATATATTACATATTTTTTGCTTGCAAGAACATTTGTCAATTTGTACGCAACAGAAATAGAGTCGAATGATATGTTAATAGATACTCCCTCCCCTTTCAATTTAATTTGTCAATTCTAGGTTAGCCATAAAGTTTTTTTAGGTATTATATAATTAGTAATTAATTAAGAAATATATTAGTAAAAATAATTATAATTTAATAAAAATAATTAAAATTAAAATTAAGATGACTAAATATTCCATCTGTTCCATAACTAGGTATTCGTTTGTTTTTTGTACGTAATTTTAGAAATATTAGTATTATATTAGGACGTAGTAGGAATAAAACAGAAATTACTAAAATAACCTTATTAGTATGGTGTGATATAAATGTAATGATATTTGTATAATATATTGTAAGTTGCAAGGGTATTTGTAATGTTAAGTAGATAGTACAATTATTAAAAAAAGGAAATGAATACTTTGTTATGAGACGAACTAAAATGAAAAAATAGATACTTTGTTATGGGACGAAGTGAGTAGTTTAATTAAAATAAAAAAATAAAAATTATGAATATTAAAATGTGATTAAAATATATAATTATATTTCAAGAATAATAAAAAAATAAATAAATTATATAGAACAGACAAAAATAAAAATAATATACAAATTAAGTTGGACGAAAGTTGTATTTTTCAAGCGATACATTGGGCTGTGCACTTCCTACATAGATATGTTCTTGCAATGAATGATAATTACATTGAATAAATCAAAATATCAATGTATGATTGTTGTAAAGAAACTTAGGGTGTGTACGTATGTAGGATTTTGACAAAATTCGACTATTCATCCAAAATTTTTTTTTCTAAAAATATCAAATCAAACATCTATTTTTAATTTTTTATATTATACTAAAAATCAATTTTACATTCAAAACATCACATCAATACCTATTTATATCACATCATACAACTATTCAAATTCAAAATTTTTACTGTTTAAATCCCAACTCAAAATCCAAACCCCCAAACAAACACACCCTAAGAGGTGTATAATCATAACTAACAATATTTTGAGTATTTTCACATATAATTTAAAATTAGAAATTTCAATATATGTCAATTTATGGATCATGTATATATTACATGCTTGCAAATGTCAAACAATATATTTTTTTTATTGAAATTTAAAATACTTTTACACAATGTAAAAAATTCTGAATTTGTATTTAATTTCATCAAATATTGTTCTGAATAATATAGTATAAAATAATCCTTCACGCATACATAAATGCTGAAATCAATTAAACAAGATGTTGATTTATTTTAATAAATAATAATTTAAATATTTTAATATAATAATGAATGTTAATACATGTTACCGAAATGTTAATCTGAAGCAAAAAAGATGTAAAAGTTTATCTATTTTAATTTTGTGATGAACACTAATACATAATCAAATGTTTAAAGTATGTCACTATGTATGTTTCACTTTGTCTATATAGTTAAAGACGTATCTTTGAATTACAACATGTTCCATATTTCATTGTTACGATGTATTATTTGGATCTTTTCTAATTTATTGCATTCTTTTGGATGAACTTGAATTCGTACTTATTTCATATTGTTGTTTTCTTTGTACTTTGATTTATTGTAAAATATATCATATACTTTCTCCATTTCATTGAAAGGTTGTCATTTTCTATTTTCGTCCATCCCAAAACAAGGTTACCATTTCCTAATTTAATAATTGTACTACCTACCTAGCATAATAAATATTCTTCCAATTTACACTATATTACACAAATGTCATTACTTTTATATTATATAATACTAATAGGGGTATTTTCGTCTTTTTCAGTACAACTCATTATACTACTAATATTAAAAAATCTACGTGTAAAAAGTAAATGACAACCTTACACCGAGACAGAGGGAGTATTATATTTTATACATGTCTTTTTTGATTTTATTTTATTTTTGCCTTCTTTATACCGAGCGAGTTGTTCAAATTTATTTTAATTAACAGTAACTTGGATGTTTTAATACAAAAATGATTAGTACTACATATTATTCAATTCTAAAGAGATGCAAACGAGATTATAATATTTTGACTAATCTTTATATCTTGAAAAACTATGAAAATTATAAGGTTCACACAAATTCATAAATTGAATCCAATATATTCTCCATATATTTACATACGTAGTTGGACAATTTCGACTTCAACATCCAATATTGGTGAGCGATTGATTGAAGTTGAAATAACAAAAAATAGATTTTACTCGCATTCATCGATTTCGTCCATAGATTTTACTATTAGATAATTTTGCTCTATTTTTCCTATGCCGAAATTGAAGCTCGGAGTGGAAGGAGGTAGTTATATAAATCAGTAGTAATTAAATTGTTTTTATACCTCTAAATTAATAAAAACCCTAAATTAATTTTTATAATCCTTAAGTTATTAAAACTTTTGTATGATTTTATTAAATTAATTTTTATAATCCTTAAGTTATTAAAACTTTTGTATGATTTTATTGATTTTTATTATTACGTGGTATAAATATATATATATATATATTTTTATGTTCTCTTGATAATATATAGTTTTGTCATTTTTAGTTGTCCAAATATAAAATATCTATTTTAATTTTTAGTTTGTATGACCTCGCTGCATATTACAAATAGTATATTATATTTATACTTATTTACATCAATATTTTCATATTAATTTAATAATTATCATAAAAATAAAATATTTATTAAACTCGGTATAAAAAATACTAAATACTTACATTTTAAGTTGACGGAGGAGTATTATATTTTTGAATAATATTTTAGAAAATAACTTAATATTAAGTGAACACATTTTTAGTATTGCATATGACATTTTAAAATGAAAATACAAATCTTATGATAAAAATAGGATTAAATCAAAATTCACACATACACAAAAAAAAAAAAAAAAAAAAAAAAAAAAAAAAAACCATCAATTTTGAATATTATAATTAAAGCAGACCCTATATATTTTATTGGTGTCTATAATATTCTCAACACTCAACATTCAATTATTTCCAAAAGTTTAAACATAAATTATAAGTAGACTTTCTAGAAAAAGTGGATATATATATTATTTTATTTAACTTTTTAACAATTTTCC